GAAGGTATGTTTAGAATTGTTCTGCCTATTTGTTTATGGGTCAAACAACATCGGTGCTGGCGAGACTATCGTTTTTATGACAGGTAAAGGCAGTATGTTCAAATTACCCCACGGTGGGGCAATTTGAACACACCGTTACTTGGTGGAGAAGTGAGGCTATGCTATTGAAGGTATGCTCGGCTCGTCCAAAAATGAGGCTTGCATGGTGAAAGCAAGTGACACTTGCGCTACTGAAACAGTTTTTCTTCATCCAGGGTTGAATTGGAATTTGGTACAACGGAGAAGACGTAAAAATATGTTCAAATTACCCCACACTACCCTACCTACTTTAAGGTGTTTAGGCTGAAAAATAATATTAAACCTAAACGCAGCGCAAACTTGAGCAATACGATACGGGTTACGTTCCACACGCAAGAGACCACATTCACTGTTTTTGTGTGCAAAATTCAATTCCACTAACAAGTGAGGTATGACTTCCGACAGCTGGCTGTCCGGTAAGGTATGACTTCCGACGGCTGGCTGTCCGGTGAGGTATGACTTCCGACAGCTGGCTGTCCTGTAAGGTATGACTTCCGACGGCTGGCTGTCCGTCTTACCGCTGTTCCCCGTGTCTCGGCTCCACCTGAACACTTCCTGGTGTGCGATCGACCGGTCCACGCCGCCGGGCACAGAGCACGGGCAGCACAGAGGCCTCACATAAACTACCAGCGTTCATCACCCTTCTGCTCCTGCCCGGGCACAGGGGGCTAGGCACAGAGCACGGGCAGGACAGAGGTCCCGCACAGGCCGAAGTGGTCATCACTGTTCTGTCTTTTAATGTCGTCTTTACCGGCAGCCATGTGCCTTTGCCCGCCGCCCTCCGACTCTGTCTGCCGTGCCGTCCCTCTGCCTTCACCAACCGTCCAGCATTTTCTACCCGCTATCTCTCCTCCCTGCCTTCTTGTCCATCTGTTCCCTCCCTCCGTCTCTCTTCTCTACCCGTCTCTACGGCTACCGGCTCCTCTGCCTCTACGTTCACTCATCCCTTCTTCCTATGCCATTCCCTCTGTCTCTGTCTCTGTCTCTGTCTCTGTCTCTGTCTCTGTCTCTGTCTCTGTCTCTGTCTCTGTCTCTGTCTCTGTCTCTGTCTCTGTCTCTGTCTCTGTCTCTGTCTCTGTCTCTGTCTCTCTCTCTCTCTCTCTCTCTCTCTCTCTCTCTCTCTCTCTCTCTCTCTCTCTCTCTCTCTCTCTCTCTCTCTCTCTCTCTCTCTCCCTGTCTCCCTGTCTCCCTGTCTCCCTGTCTCCCTTTGTGTCACTTTGTCACTCTTTCCCTCTCTCTCCCTCTCTCTCCCCTCCCTATCACTTTGTCTCTCTTTCCCTCTCTCTCTCCCTCTCTCTCCCCTCCCTATCTTCCTCTCTCTCTCTCTCTCTCTCTCTCTCTCTCTCTCTCTCTCTCTCTCTCTCTCTCTCTCTCTCTCTTTTATTCAGGCCTCCCTCCAACGGGCTCTTATGTCCCAATTATAGGAGAGCTCCATCTCCTCCCGGCCACTGTACCCCACCCCCCAGGCTACGGCTGAAGTGGGAGCCTACCCCACACCTGGTGACACAGCCGGTGACGACGCCCGCGGAACGGGCGGAACCAGGAATCGAACCCGAACCGGACACCGCCCGCACCGCGGTTCGACGCCTTAACCGACTGCGCCACCAGGGCCGCACTCTCCCCTCCCTCCCTCCCCCTCTATCTCTCTCTTTCTCTCTGCTCTTCCACGCCCCAACCCGTCTATGCCTTCCCAGTTCCCATCCTCTCTGTCTCTGCGCTCCCAACCCTCTGTTTTTTTTCTCTCCCGTTCCCTCCATCTTCCATCCACTACCCTCTTCCTCTACCCTCCCACTCTCTCTCCCTCTCTTCCCTGCCACCCGCTCTGCCTACCCCAATCGGCTGTCAAAACAGTAATTAGCGGAGCCGTGTGTCACGCGGCGAGGACGGGCTCTGAGCGATCAGTGCCACCGGACGACGCTATCGGCCCGGGCCACACGGTCGCGAGCGACCCAGGCCCAGCGACCCGCCCCAGTGGCACTGCAACTAAACGGCCGCGAGCGACCAACGTCGCCAAGCATTCGAGCGCTTTAATCCCATCAGTATGACAAGAAGGTAGGTTACTATAATTTATAATCTGATCGTATCTGTCGTTGCATTCGATGATTAAGAATGCTAGGAGATAGGTTTGCAGATTATAGGCCACGGTGAGAAAATTAATCACTTTCCTCAAAAGAGTGAATCAAGCATAAATATTGCAGTGCACACATAATTGAGTCGTATTACTTTACAAATAAATTGGTATATTTATTTCCTGGCTTCCTGCGATGGAATCAACGTTAATTGGAAAAAAGAGACTTCAGAGGATAGCCGGTAGTGGCAGTGCTATTCTGGCGGCCTTGGCTCTCGCCAAGTCCCACGGAAGCGTCTCAGAGAAAAAGGCGCACATAGGAACTGTGCTGTGCAGGAATGCTCTGTGCAGGAATGCTCTGTGCAGGAATGCTCTGTCTCCTACTGTGCAGGAATGCTTTAGACTGGGAGTTTTCCGAGTCCCTGTTCGTTCTTTTTTTACTGTATGTACCTATTAATCTTGGGCACCTTCAGCGTTAACAAATCCACCAGAAACGAGGCTGTTCAGGACAAAAAGAGATTGGCAACGCAATTACCCAACTACAGGAAATTACTCGCACCGCCTAACTTCAGGGGAACGGGCAATAGCCGCGCCCCACTGGGGGGGGCTATTTATAGCCCCCCCTCCCGTTTTTCTGCAATAACTTCCAAACCGCTTGACGTATCGACGCCAAACTTTCAGTACCTTCGGCTGCATCAATTTGACACCTTGTGTCAAAATTTGAACTTCGTAGCTACCATAGGTCGACCGGAAATGACGTCAGAGTGACGTCATGTTCGGCCGATTTCGACGCAAAACATTGAACCACGGCAATCGCTCCCAACGGCTCAGTTTTTAAGCTAGATCCAATTTCTTTGCATGAGAGGACTCAGAATAGACTGCGCTATCAAACTGCTCTCTCGGATTTTCGAAATTTTGAAAAGTTTGAAAATTTTATATAATGAAATTCAAATGTTACATTTTTACATTTTTTTTCAAAAAGTTTCTGATTTTTTCGAAAAAAAAAACGGAATATATGTGATAGAACGCGTTATTATGACTAACTCTAGCAAGTTTTAGCTAAATATGTTCAAAAATGGCCAAGTTATACGCATTTTTGCAAAAAATTCACAATTATTAATTTTTCAAATCAATTTTTCACCACGTATTTGACATCGTACGCCAATATAAATAGCACCATCGTGTTCCTGAGCTCAAACTGCATCCATCGCGGGTTAACTACGTCTCGCTAGCCTGTGCTTGTAGTATTATGAGTTTGTTAGTGAAATAACTTCTACATATACAACATGCAATGCAATATACCATATGCAATGCAATTGCAAGCGCCACTCACTGTAGTTATGTGACCACCCACCACACCCATGGATGTCGTTTTCATTTTATCTGCCTTATGAGGCCTAAACCCTGGCAATAATTTCGGCATTTTACGTTAACATTGGGTCTTGCGCAAATAACATCCTGTCTGGAAATCGCTTCAGCATAAGCATGGTGGGATGGACAAATTGGAGCAAATTTGAAGTTGTCATAGTGTCAATGTGTCATAGCTATCATTCCAATTCGATTGGTTGCAACACTCGTAAATTATTTAGATGTAATTGCAACGGGACTGACTTCAGCTGTTATAGGTCAACTCTGAACTCACGTTTGCCATGGAGCTGAATGCGACCAACGCCAGCAACCTTACTCCAAGCGCTGCGCGCAGAAAGATCTCCGGCGGAGAAAATCGAATTTCCGCAGGTCCCAAGGAGCACGCCGTAGTGCATACCGGGGCGTGTGCGAGAACAGCAGGGTGTTGACGAACCCAAAGATCAAGAAAAGGTGACCCCTGACCTGTGAACCGGGACCTGGAAAGAATAGAACACCAGCGCTCCTTCGACAGTTCCAGGAGTCAATCAAGGAATAACTCGATGAAGCTGCTTCAGGCACAAACGTCTGGTTGGGGGTTCTGGAGACTGTCGTGTTGCCCTGGCTTCAGGAAATAAATCACTGAGGAGCTGGGTCATAATCGCAGCACCCGGCCGCTTGGGGCACCACCACGCAATGGGCCTTGACCACTCGCATGTCTGTGACAGTCCGAGGGCTCCGGGATCGGTTCTGAAGCAGTTGCCGCCCGGTGCAGCGTGTGCGCCCCTTGGCGATTTCGGTGGAAGGGCGAAGCTCCGTACCATGCGTTTGTTATGTTTGTTGTACCTACGCTCAATACACTGTGGGCCAAGTGCCTGTAATGTTAGTTTAATGCAAATATGTCTTCCAGCAGCACTCGGCACCCACGCATGCAGCAGAACAGACGCAGGAGTGGTGCCGGCAGCACATGCACAGAACGTGAACTGGACCAAGGTGTTCTGGCCGCTGTACCTACTCCCTAGATCTCAACCCCCTCGAGTCTTCTGTCTGGAGCAAAGTTGAGTGGATATCCGACAAGATCGCTCACCACTCTAAGAAAACTCTGAACGAGGCATAATGAAAAAAATAGACCGAGCTGCCGTGAAGCATTTGTGCATCAGGTTCAGGAGCTCGCTGGAGAGGGTTGTTACGGCAAAAAGAGGGTACAAGGTGTGCAAATATTGGAAAACGATTATGTTGTCCTCAATTTAACATTATTTTGGCTATTCGTTTGGTCAATCGGCTGTCATCATTTGAATCGAAGAACACCGTTTATCTCAATCTAACCATCCCACCCCGTACAGGAGCCTTCCGAGATGACGAGAGATATTTGCGGTGTTTGCGATAAAAGCCTCATGTGAACCGGTTTGCAGATGACGCGGAACCTTTTTTTCGTCTGCCTGGTAAATATATAAGCAGCATCAAACGTCGCCAGTCAGTTGGTGACTGTACTCTCGCGCGGATCATCGCCATGTCTCTCTGGTGGAATTACCTAGCCCTGCTCGCCTTCGCAGCCAGCATCCTCGGGGCATTGACGTTCCCGCAGCACGACGGGTGGTGTCCCCAGCGCGATCAGCAGTGCATCAGCATCCTCAGTTGCCCGCAGTTCCAAACGAGAGCCGACGTGATGTGGCTACAGCCGCGGCCCTGCGGGTTCTCCGGCACCACAGCACTGGTGTGCTGTTCGGTGGCCCGCGCCGGCCCGCTCACTGGCACGCGCTCGCCGCTGCCGACCTCCTGCGGACGCACCAGAGTCCAGGAGTTCTTCTTCCGTTCACACAGTGCTCCTACCACGATTCTTACTCCGAGCATGTCGGAGTTCGGAGGAGACGGCGCAGGTGCGTTCGCCGTTGGCGGGGAAAACGCCCAGCTCGGCAAGTGGCCGTGGATGGTGCTGTTCGGCCGGTGGAAGGACGACGGCCTGGGCAACTGGTTCTGCGGCGGCACCCTCATCACCGACCGGCACGTGCTCACGGCCGCCCACTGCCTGCGACCGGAGGAGGCCGGCATCATCGGCACCCACATCGGCGACAACGACCTTAACCTCCAGTTTGAGGTGGAGCATCAGGTGCGGAACGTCTCCAGGATCGTGCGCCATCCGCAGTACCTGGGATCACAGAACGACCTCGCCGTGGTCCGGCTGGCGACTCCTGTGGAGCTGACGGAGCACGTATCGCCCATCTGTCTACCACCAGCCGGCGTCGAGCACATCGGACAAGACGTCGAGATGGCCGGCTGGGGTCTGCTCGAGTTCGGCGGGAGCGCCCCGAATGTTCTGCAGGAGGTGGCCCTGCGCGTGGCCGACCCATCCGTCTGTGAGACCGCCTACCGGCGCGTGCCGCAGTTCGAGTCGCGCTTCCCGGGCGGCTTCCAGGGCACCAAGGTGTGCGCCGAGAGCCGGGACGGCGAGCCGCGCGACGCGTGCCGCGGCGACTCGGGCGGCCCGCTGATGGTGCGTCTGGCGGACGACACCTACCAGCTGGTGGGGGTGGTCTCCACGGGCGTCGGCTGCGGCAACCCCGAGTTCCCCGGACTTTACACCAAGGTGTCGTCCTATATCGACTGGATCGTCAGCCAGCTCATCTGAAGGGCACTAGGGCGGCAGGTGGGGTATAAGTGGAAGCTCTGACTCAATACAGTTATTTTTTTTTTTTAAGCGTTACAGATTGATGTGCATGCATCTTGGTGAGCCGTAAAACTGGTTCTATGAGTGAAATCGTAGGAACCAGTTACTGAACACATTTACATTCTTTGACGAGCTGGAATCATGAAATGCGGTAGGGACACCACATTCTCCGGGAGGGCCGGAGAGGAGAGACATCACATCTCAACTTACGGCAATACGGTATTTTCGGTAATGCGGTATAATAGCTACGCCGCAATGTGTATGCCAAACATGTGCACGGATACGAGAACATGGATCTGAGATCTAGTTTCACTGATATTCATCTCGAAACCAATGGATCATAGGTGTACCTAATTCTCTAATTTGTCAAAATATCCATTGGGGTTGTAGAGTCCTCAGTCCGAGTCCAATGTCCATTCTTTGCCTAGAGATACGGTAAGATCAAAGATACTTACTTGTAAGTTTTTGTCGGCATGGAAACAGTCACGGCCGGCCTGCCGGCCGTGCGGCCGCTTTCTCGAAGCTTAAATCTCAGCACCCACTTGACCGATTTACATGCGGTAGTTTTTGTAGGGTTGCTTCATTCCCTCTAGCAAGTATTGGATTATTCCTGATGCATGTGGGTGACCCGTTATGCACGTGCCACGTACAAAACGAAAAGGTGTCATTTGGTAAAAATTGCAATATCTCTGTTATAACTACTGGCCCAATCGTGCTGAAAGTTGGCATGTAGGTAGGCATCCACTGGCAATGCGTATTTATGTGCCACAGTTGGGGTGCGTGCCAGTAGCGGCGGAACACCTTCAATTAAGGGGGGGGGGGCACTGCCGACTTTTGGTCCCATTCTTTCCATGCAACGCCCATAGGGCTAATGTTAAAATGCAAAAATCAAAGAGGGCACGGTGCCCCGGTGCCTTCCCTGTTCCGCCGCCTATGGTGCGTGCAGGGGTCGATTCCAAATCTCGAGAACGGCTGAACCAATTGCGATGAAATCTGATGCATGGTTAGAGACTGGTTAGTAGGGTGCCGTGCAAAAGTCGGTTAGGACCCATTTTGCACGTGCGCACGCGCAGGGTGCCGCTTCCAGATCTCGAGAACGGCTAGGCCGATTGCGCTCAAATTTGGCACATAGCTAGAGACCGGTTAGTAATGTATGAAATCCTGAAAAATTAGGGCATGAGTTATAGAGGTCAAGGTGAGGTCATGATGGACCATTTTTGGTCAAAGAAACTGCTCACGGAAAAAAATAACAGAAAAACAGACTATCAACCTACAGACTCAAAAATTGAAGCGAAGGTAGGTACAAAAAAGGGAATTAAAATGCTACCTCGGAATTTCAAATCTATAAAATTATCAAGATTTTGAGATTTTTGATTCGAAATTTAGTTGAAAAGGGATATTTTTTGAAAAATTGGGAAAATTTTCAAAAATCAGAATGCCTGTCAAAGAACATCTCACTGCACTGCCGTTTGGAAGGTACCTACATATTTGAAAATAAACAAAATACCTATCTCAAAGACTGACAGAGATATAGTCATTTGAAAGACCAAAAATAATAGCGGCTTCTTATGACGCCACATTTTTTCGAATTTGCAGTTAAAATCAGCCTAGGACAATATTTATTGTGCTTATCAATCTCTTCCTAACTAAATATGAGCGCTGTCTTTTACGTACCTAATGAAAGTCACTTTTATGTGACAAATTGTTTGTCATCGTAAAAACGGTACAATTTTACCTCTTTTAAATCCTGTGACATCATAGTGTGGACGAGTTGTATGGGCCGCGACCGCCGGGCTGGTGCCGCCTCTGTGGAGGTCCCATGCCCCCACAAGACGTTGACGTTGGACCAGGTTGCACCGTGGCTGTCCCACACGCTGTTTATGTCAGATCTATGATATACATCACATCTAGACCCATTTTAGAGACCTAGATGGTAGATATCTTTTCTTACGACCGAATTCTCTTCATTGTAAATTTTACAAATTTAACCTTTTTTGACCTCCCTGTGACGTTACAGGGAAAATATCAAGGTCACCGATGTCGTTTCTTGTGCATCTTTATGAGCTCTTTTGAATGATGACTGAATTTTCGTAATCAAGACAATTTGTTCCGGTGATACGACGGGGCCCTTTGCCCCCCTCCCCCCGCCCCGCCCGAACAGGACCTGGACCCTGCTAGACCTCAACGGGGCGCGGTTTAACACTGGATCTTGCGCAAAGATCATATCCTGCATAAACTGGAAATCGCTTCAGAATCTACACGAGTCTCCTGAGCTGACGGGTTCTCTGTGGCGTTTGCAGAGACGGCCTCATGCAAACCGGTTTGTAGATGACGCGCAGCCATTTTTCCCGCCTGGCCGGTGAATAGATTAGTATCAGCAAGCCTCGCTAGTCGGTCGGTGACCGTCATACCGCGCGGATCGTCGCCATGTCTCTCTGGTGGATCTACCTTGCCCTGCTCGCCTTCGCAGCCAGCATCAGCGGGGCGCTCACCTTCCCGCAGCAGGACGCGCGATGTCATCAGTCCGACCAGCAGTGCATCAGCATCCTTAGCTGCCCGCAGTTTCAGACGCGTGCCGACGTGGTGCGATTCCGGCCGCGACCCTGCGGGTTCATCGGCACTACAGCACTGGTGTGCTGTTCGGTGGCCCGGACCGGTGGACTCACCGGCACACGCTCGCCGCTGCCGATCTCCTGCGGACGCACTCGAGTCCAGGAGTTCTTCTTCCGACCCAGCACTGGTCCTCCGCCCAGTTTTGAGCTAAGTGGCCAGCTGCCGGGACCGCCGACGGGCGGCAGGAGGCGCCGCCAGGCGGGGCTCGGAGGGGGCGGCGAAGGTGAATTCGTTGCCGTCCAAGCTGTGGGCGGGGTGGACGCCCAGCTCGGCAAGTGGCCGTGGATGGTGCTGTTCGGCCGGTGGACGGACGACGGCCTGGGAAACTGGTTCTGCGGCGGCACCCTCATCACCGACCGGCACGTGCTGACGGCCGCCCACTGCCTGCGACCGGAAGAGGCGGGCAACGTCGGCACCCACATCGGCGACAACGACCTCAACATCCCGTTCGAGGTTGAGCATCAGGTGCGGAACGTCTCCAGGATCGTGCGCCACCCGCAGTACCTGGGATCACAGAACGACCTCGCCGTGGTCCGGCTGGCGACTCCTGTGGAGCTGACGGAGCACGTATCGCCCATCTGTCTACCACCAGCCGGCGCCGAACACATCGGACAAGACGTCGAGATGGCCGGATGGGGTCTGCTCGAGTTCGGCGGGAAGGCCTCGGACATTTTGCAGGAGGTGGCCCTGCGCGTGGCCGACCCGGCCGTCTGTGAGACCGCCTACCGGCGCGTGCCGCAGTTCGAGTCGCGCTTCCCGGGCGGCTTCCAGGGCACCAAGGTGTGCGCCGAGAGCCGGGACGGCGAGCCGCGCGACGCGTGCCGCGGCGACTCGGGCGGCCCGCTGATGGTGCGTCTGGCGGACGACACCTACCAGCTGGTGGGCGTGGTCTCTACGGGCGTCGGCTGCGGCAACCCCGAGTTCCCCGGGCTCTACACCAAGGTGTCGTCCTACATCGACTGGATCGTCAGCCAGCTCACCTGAAGGGCACTAGGGCGGCAGGTGGGACAATTTATATACGCATATGCAGTAAGCTGACTCAGTCTTGTTCCTTTTTTCATGAACGTACAGCTCAATGGACGTGCATTGTGATTAGGTAACGCTGGAGCTATAGGCATTTTATTGACTAGAGTAGAGGTGGCAAAACTGGAAAATTTTGGGACCCGGACCCGGACCCGGTCTGACTGGCACATTTCTGGAACCGATCAGACCCGGTCTAAGTCAGCGTTGGAACCAGATGGGCCCGTTCCCGAAATTCATTATGAAACTTGTGTAGAGTTGTAAGTATAGCAAGAAGAAAACAGTTTCATTCCAATTGGGCATACTTGTGTTGCAAAGTAAAAAACTCATGCCATGGTCATTTCACTTCGCTTTACAGTTTGTATTTTAGAACCAGATTCAGGTCATATTTAAGAATGTAGACCAATGAATTTCATGCCAACCTAAGCCACTTTTACTACAGCTGCTAAAAATGATGTGAACTGGGGATCCATGGAGCAGTGCCTTCACCAGAGTCAGAACCTAACATCAACATGGAACAAGATAACATACTGATACATACCTTTTCTAATATTCTTGGTAAAAGATATTCGTTTTTAGAATTAATTCATTAGTCCTTACAAATATTATCAACTATCCAAGGCCCAAACGAGAAAACATCCAAAATCAAAATAGAAACATCAAAACGGTATATAGGGCCTTGATCAAAACTTTGTGATGTCCGCCAGAAATGTCGACACGATAGCAATGCAAGGACAAAACAGGCGTTAAATCACTGCAAAATTTTGTTGGGGTTAAAGTACTGCAAAATCGTCATGGCAAATGGCAATTAACTTTTAAGTACTGCAAGGTTGCGAATTGCGATCATGACTTAAGTGCCAACTTATTCACGTAGAAAACAAACTACATTTTGTTGTTAGTACCTAGATATAGTATAAATACCAAGGGTTTTGAGACTTACCTGATTTCTTCCCAAACGTGCTGTGTTCCAAAATTGTAACCTTTATGCAGTAGATTAGCGTGCGTAAGGTATAGCATATATGACGCTCAAATGCGCCATTTTCACATCAACACGGAATCATTGGCCTTGGAGAAGTGCATTGGTATTGACTCAGTTTTTTGCCAGCTGCTGCCGTATGATGGCGCTAGTAGAGCGCTATATGTACGCTCTGCTAGCGCCACCATGCGGCGCCAGTTGGCTAAACATCTAATCAATACTGATACCTACTACGGTTTCTGGAGAATGCCTTGGATTAAAGGGACACTCCCACCTTAACATTAGCTTTGAGTTGAGATAGCCAAATTGGTGGCCATGGCCTGCAAATACCGGTTTGGGCACTCACAACATCGACAAATGCTTTAATTCGGAGATATGGAATTTCAAACTTGCAGTTTTCGGATTCTAAGGGGCTAGTGCATTGGTATGCCCCCTTAGAATTTGTGACGTCAGCGGAGATCTAACGATTTTTAAATCTTTTACTAAAACGTTTGGTAGCACGCGGTGGTATATGCTGCTTTGCGCGCAACAAATGCCGCACTTTCAAATAAAGTCGCTAGGAACAGCGGAGATCCCGAAAAGTAAACAAAAGTAAAAGTCTAATATCTTGAAAACCGGTGAATATTTTTCGATGAAATTTGGTAGATATTCGTTTTCGCTCTTTCTGAACCGAGCGACATCACTTTCGTGCCAATTCATTAACTTTTTTGAAGGTGGGAGGGTCCCTTTAATTTTTAGCTTTATGGATTTATGAAAGGGCATGTTGGCCTTATGAGTTGCCTACTGGCCGTGATAGAAATAATTTCAAAGCTGTTTGAGGTATGAAATGCATTTGAATATCATACATGAACTCTGATTTCCGGTGGGCATAGTGACTTTGGTATGTGAATGTCTTTGAAAAGGCAGGTGAGAATGCCACTTGTCAGCCTTGCCTTGCTTCAATTGGATGTATGTCCATTTATAAATGGATTTCAGTCATACCTACTTACCTACATATGTTATTGGTATTTGATTTCTACAGCTCAGAATATTGCTAGGTTTTGTACAGCAAACTGAATGGAAGTGATCTGTACAAACATTTGGTGAAATGTTTTCTGGATTGCTAGCACTTAGAACTTGTTTATTCTGTTGTAGGTGACAAGATAAGAAATTGAAGCAAGACTGACCAGTATGTTATAGAATAGGCAGCCCAATCTGCAGGAATATTAAAATTCAAAAGTGGAATTGGGACTTATGAACTGGAAACTGCATCAACTATGACTATGTTTGCCAAAGCATAAAAGATATTAATTTAATATTTACCATAAAGCACAGGGAAATGATAGGACCCCGTTGGAGCCGGCCAAATATTTTGGGGGACCCGGTCTGGACCCATCCGGGTCCAGATCGGTTCCATAGACCGGGTCCCCGGGTCCACATTTTGCCACCTCTAGACTAGAGATTGCGCAAGGCTCAAATGGTTCAGCGATGAGGCTACACACTGCAAAAAAAATGCGATTCTGGACATAAAAGTTGAAGCGTCGAGAAGCGTAGGCATGCAAATCGAAGCAAGGTTGAAACAGATGCCATGTTGGGTCCTTTGTGTTGGACTGTTGGTGTTCACTGTCATAGTCTTATTACGAGCGAGCGAGCGCAGCGAGCGAAGTGAGTCTTTTCAATATAACGGAAAAATCTCAGTATGAGCGGCCCGGCCCGGCCCGGCCTGTAACGCTTTTGAGAGGCTTATATCTCAGCAACCGCTGGACCGATTGGCCTGCGGTCTTTTTTGTTGGGTAGCCCCATCCCTTCTACCCCGTAATTGACTACTTTTGACACATCTCAGTGACCGTCGTGGCACGTGCCACGTGAAAAGTCAAGGGTGTTCAAGCTGTTTTGCAAAAGTAGTGATTTTGAGAGGTTCATATCTCAGCAGCCGCTTGGGCGATTGACTTGCGGTAATTTTTGTAGGGTAGCAGCATCCCTTCTACCCAAAATAGGATAGTCTCGATGCATGTGGGTCACCCCCAGTGCACGTGCAAAATACAACAATAAGAGGTGCCAAATTTGTTCCCATTTCAGTAACTCGGTAATTACTGGGGCGATTTCGCTGAAACTTGGCATACAGGTAGGTACCCACCAGGCAATGCATGTCCCATGTGTTGCGGTTAGGATGCTACTGCACGTGCGCACGTGAAGGGGGCGTTTCCAGATCTCGAGAACGGCTGAGCCGATTGCGCTCAAATTTGGTACACGGTTGGGGACCAGTTAGTAGGGTGCCGTGCAAAAGTCATTTTGGACCCCGTTTGCACGTGCGCACGTGCAGAATGCCGCTTCCAGATCTCAGGAACGGCTGGGCCGATTGCGTTCAAATTTGGCACACCGCTAGCGACCGGTTTGAAGGGTGCCTTGCGCAAGCCCGTTGGAAGCACCCTCTCGCCCTTCTGCACGTGCACGGCTCACTATCTCGCTCGCTCGTTCTTCGCCCAAAAGGCGTTTTACTGGTAATAAAGATCAATCACCACAACAATATGTTTCCAATCACTTTTTAAAGGCAGACCTCAACTGTCCTCCAGCAACTTACGAGTGGGAACAACAACACCTTCTTAAATTTTCGTAAGTTAGGAGACAGGCGGCAACATCTTGACTCTCTCCGTCACTCCTCCATGGAGCTCCCGTTTACAAAGATTCGCTATCGCACCAAATGTTCTTCGTGAACTTTTTACCAAAACTAGGTACTTTTGAAGCCATTTAGCAGGAAAGGCTGGTTCTAGTTGCGCTTGTTATCTCAGTCCATCGGTTTTCGTTCCAGGGAGCTATACCTGACAGACTGACAGATCAATACCAAGCCAAGAACGTAGGTACTAGCCCCTCGGTGGCGTGCGTTAGATGTCTTTCGTGTAGCAGTGAGTGCTCATCGTTCAGTGTTCACCTTGACGTTCATCCCCCGAGCCCCCCCCCCCCCTATCGACCCCCCTCCCGTTGCCAAACCGGATACGCCGGCCGGATCCAGGGACGTGCGTTGCAATGTACAATATGAATCGTCACACGTGCGCCACTTTTGATAATATCCGCCAATGGCCGGACGAGAGACTGCCCGGTGGGCGACAGGCCATTGCGGCATCCATCCACGTGCGAGGTGATACATGGTGGGCGGAAACTCGTCTAAGCGTTGTAACAACATCCACTCACTAAACTGCCAGGCTTTATGCTTATTAGTTTGCATCTTTCTGCTTCTGCAATAGATGGGTTACAGCCGAGATTTTCTTTGAAGTCCTTGGCGTCGGCTCATGGTTTTCACAACTAGTTATCAATTAGTCCACCTGCGTCCGGATCTTATTGACCCAGCTTCTAGGTCACATTTCCATTCAGCGCCAGCTTCATTCTGGAGCCATCATTTCCCAACACTGCCACACACACACACGACCGGTGGATGGCCGCTATTGATACCTCCGCCCGTCGCCGCGACGTCGCCGGAACTGCAGAGCGTACCGCGGCGCGCTTTGAAGTCGGCCGGCCGGCGCCGCTCAGCAGCTAGTTAGCGCCCTGTCGCCGGCCTTTCGTGCCTCATGCCGGCGCCGACGAACGAGGGGTGAACACCTCTGTCGGACTAATTGGAGTGGTGCGCCTGCTCATTCGGTCGGCGCCGAGCGAGTCCAACCGGCGGTCCGCCCGGCTGCTGGCAAAGTCGGCCAGTTCAACTAGGTGCAGCCTTCGGACCACCGGGCGATAACGCGCACACAAAGCACCTGTTTGAGGGAGCAGACCCATGGCTAATGGAAACTAAGCGCAGAGTTCCGTGCTTAATTCAAGGGCTAACGACTTTTTTTGCTCGACGTTTTTCGTGGTTGAGACGGGCCACGGGTTACTGCAATACTACGTAGATACGCATCCCTTCTTTACAAAAGCCTTGCAGCAGATCCAATATCGATTTCATAGCAATGGGAGTAGAGTAAGGGCTCAACAGCCATCAGCACGGAGCAAGATAAATCCATAAGTCGGCACTATTATCTATCGTCGATAAATGATACTTGTAAGGCCGGTCTCCGCATGACAATTTTTTTTTTTCAAGCCGGATATAAAACTAGCGTTCGCCTAGCTGCAAGCTCAAATGTCATGCCATCGTTAATCGTCAGGTATCAAATGGCTCCCTCGGCTA